GCACACCTATCATTCTTGTGTTAAAGAACCATAGCATTTGATAGGCATTTCACCTACTTTAGTAGCGATTTTTGAAATACACTTTTTAACCAAAATTTTGTCATACAATGTTCGTTTATACATGCCTTAAACCAAATCACACAAAAATTATATTTTAATATTAATAGTTTTGGCATATTATAGAAATAAAAAAAATATTTAATTTCTGTGGAGTATATAGTAAATAATGAGGTATCCCCCCTGAACAATGACAGACTGTAGCCAAAGACCACCCTCAACCAGTAAAACATTTTCGGTATAATTTTATTTGGATATGACAGCCCTTCATTACATTTAGATAATTTAGGTTAAAAGGGTCCTCATATATATTGAAAATGATGAAAATATTATCTAAATTTTCTTCTCATATTATTTTAAGACCAACAGGTGATATTTACTATCTGCATGCAGTATGTTTTTCTCAATTTTTCACTCACTTTCGAATTATCAAACTTTTTGAACTAGTCAATCGATGTATCTAGAAATGCTAAATTTAAATTATGGGCAGTGGGCAGTGTCTCACGACCTGCAATGGTCTGACTCCCCTTCCCTCAGAAGGAACCGTAACTTCTTAAGGGAGATCCCACTAGGAGAGCACTCTCTACACAAATCGCTGACATCTCAAATCCCCGTTGATTGAGAGATTGCCCACCTATAACGCATGTAAAGACTGTGCATAGCGAACTCTGCGGAGGAAACCGTCATGGTTCATTGGAGGAGAAGACGGACACAGCAAGCACCGTGGAATAATTGGAGCAAGGTAAGGCACATATAGCACGTCTTGGTCATCCGCTGCATCTGCCTTCATCTCCAGACGTCCTGACATCTGTCTTGCCACTGGATCTAGATGGTTGCAGACGAGAGAGTGAGGTTGGCGACGCGCAACCCTTCTTCACTTTAATCAAACTCATTGCGCAAGTCATTGATCATCTTCCATCCCTTCTTTCATCCACCCCAAAGCCCTGTGGCGAAAGGCGAGCAACGACGGTGACAGGTGCGGATACACTGGAAGTCGCTAGTCGCAGACCTGCACACAGGCGGCACAGGCCATAGGGTCGCTCTTCACTGACCGGATTAGCGTTGGAGTTCGGCAGCCACCTGCGCGACTGAGCAGCCCTCTTTAGGAACGCACTGCTCACCTCCATGGCAAGAGGAGCGGATTAGAAAAGGTACACATCCCTAGTCAGTTTACCGCGGCTGGTGGGGACCCTACACAAGGTTGAAACAACAAAGGGAACAAGTAGAAAACAAGGATCATCCCACTGTACCTTGGATCGTAGAACGTTCGAACGCTTCTCGACAGAGACTCTACAGAGAGACCCCGGAGACGCACAGCACTGATCGCATGCGAACTTTCGAGATATAACATTGACATTGCGGCTCTCAGTGAAACCAGGTTGGCTGGAGAAGGTGAACTTTGTGAAAGAGGCGCTGGCTGATCCTTCTTTTGGAGTGGACGAGGAGCCGAGGAGAGACGAAGAGAAGCTGGCGTACGCTTTGCTATAAAGACGACGCTTGCTGGCAAGCTAGTCGGCGTACCCAAAGGAGTGAACAACCGCCTGATGACGTTGAGACTCCCCCTCACTCGAGGAAAGTTCGCCACTATTGTCAGTGCATACGCTCCTACCCTGACGAACCCAGAGGAGACTAAAAACGCGGCTCCAAAACGTCTCAACGTTGGCAAGCTCAAGTTGCCTTCAACCACTCAGTACTTTGCTGAAACCCTGGAAGAACGCCCGAACCCCACCGTGCTGGATGACCACGACGTGGATGCAGTATGGAGCACACTTTGGAATACAGTGTACAGCACAGCCTTCGAGTGTCTGGGGCCCTCCACCAGAAACCACAAAGACTGGTTTGATGAGAACTGTCCAGAGATTACGCAGCTTCTGGAGGACAAGCATCGCGCTTACAAGGCTCATTTAGATGATCCCACCTCCACAGCCAAGAAAGACGCTCTGAAGAAACGCTCGCAGCACAGTACAGCAAAAGCTTCGGGATATGCAGGACTCCTGGCTGAATGCCAAAGCTGACGAGATCCAACGCTACGCCGACTCTCATGACATGAAGAACTTTTACCGTGGACTGAAGGAAGTCTATGGGCCAACTCCATCAGGCTCATCCCCTCTCCTCAGTGCAGACGGGTTAACACTCATCACAGAGAAGGAAAAGATACTCAACAGGTGGGCGGAGCATTTCAATGACGTTCTGAACCGCCCTTCTACTTTCAACGATGGAGCCATCAACCGACTACCCCAGGTTCCCATCAACCAGTCAATGGACGCCGTTCCCACGCTGGAAAAGACCCAGAAAGCAATTACTAGTAGTCTGCTGTCAAATGGCAAAAGCACCTGGCGGAGACTCCATCCCATCTGAGATTTACAAAGAAGGGGGCATGGCTCTAGTCGAAAAGCTCCACCATCTGTTTGAGCTCATTTGGGACCAGGAGAAGGTGCCTCAAGACCTCATGGATGCCTCAATCATCCACCTGTACAAGCGAAAGGGAAATAGACAGGCCTGTGACAACCACCGTAGAATTTCCCTTCTCTCCATCGCAGGCAAGACGCTAACACGAGTTCTACCTAACCATCTCATTAAACACCTTGAGGATGGCCTCCTTCCCGAGAGTCAGTGCGGCTTCCGGATAAATCGCGGCACAATCGACATGGTCTTCGCTGCACGTCAGCTGCCAAGATTGATTGATTGATTGTATACTGTTTAACGTCCCTCTCCAGAATATTTCACTGATATGGAGACGTCACCATTGCCGGTGAAGGGCTGCAAATTTAGGCCTATGCTCGGCACTTACGGCCTTTGAGCAGGGAGGGATCTTTATCGTGCCACACCTGCTGTGACACGGGGCCTCGGTTTATACGGTCTCATCCGAAGGACCGCCCCATTTAGTCGCCTTGGTCGACAAGCAAGGGGGTACTGAGGACCTATTCTAACCCGGATCCCCATGGGGCCGTCAGCTGCAAGAGAAGTGTCAGGAACAGAACTCCACTTACGTCGATCTGACCAAGGCTTTTGACACTGTCAGCAGAGAAGGGGCTGCGTCCTCGCCCCGATGTTCTTCAGCTTAATGTTCTCCGCCATGCTTACTGATGCCTTCGATGGCACGGACACCGGAATCGGCATCAAATGGCGCTTTGATGGCTCAGTCTTCAACCTCAGACGTCTACAAGCAAAGTCCAAGGTTCAATCGGACACCATCAACCATCTCCTGTTTGCTGATGATTCTGCTACCTCGGAGATTAATATGCAGCACAGCGTTGACAAGTTCTCTGATGCATGCGACAACTTTGGCCTTACTATCAGCACAAAGAAGACCAAAGTCGTGCACCAGCTAGCACCAGGCAAACCGTATGTTGAGCCCAACATCACTATCAACAACCAACGGCAAAATGTAGTGGACAAGTTCACGTACCTCGGTAGCACTCTCTCCAGGAACGTTGTGATTGATGATGAGGTGAACGCTAGACTGGCCAAGGCGAGTGTTGCTTTCGGCAGACTGCACAAGAACGTGTGGGACAGAAGAGGCATCACAACAGAGACAAAGATTAAGGTCTACCGTGCAGTAGTTCTCACCACACTGCTGTATGGCCGTGAAGCGTGGACTCTCTGCCAGAGGCACGCCAAAAAGCTGAACCACTTCCACACGAGCCTCAGAAAGCTTCTTGGTATCAAGTGGCAAGAAAATATTCCAGACACAGAAGTCCTCACCTGAGCTGGCTTGCTTAGCATCTACACCATGCTCATGCAGTCACAGCTCCGCTGGGCGGGACACATAGTCCGTACGCCAGACCAACGACTCCCCAAGAAACTACTCTTTGGTGAACTACTGGAAGGAAAGCGTGCCCGAGGTGCCCCCAAAAAGCGATTCAAGGACAGCCTAAAGTCCTCCCTCAAGGCATTCAGTATCAACCCTGATTCATGGGAAGTTGCAGCACAAAACAGATGTGGGTGGAGAGCCGCAGTCCACGATGGCGCCATGAGCTGTGAAGCCAACAGGACGTCTGCAGCAGAACAACGCAGGCAGGCCAGGAAAGATAGCGCCAATGACCCGGGAGTTGCCACCATCCCCTGCCGGAGACTATTCCGTGCGAGGATCGGCCTGAGCAGTCACCTCCGCACCCACCGTCCAGGTCAACCCCTCCCCCACAAAGATGAGACAAGTGGTCATCGTCGCCACCGACGGACGAAAAACAACAGATTTACATTCAAACACATAAATTATTTCATCAACACTAAAGTTAATAGAGTTAAGGCAACGCAAATGAATCTTTTTTGTCATATTTTTGCAAAGAGAGCATGTCTACTACATGTTTTTGTCTAATCAAGGGATTCATAAAATTAAAAAAAGAACACCAGGAACTGTAATGTTTACTTTATATCTAGGACAGTTAATTAAGGTTATACGCAACGTACCTTATCTACTGGTCAGTTTTCAATATATTCTTAATTTAAGATTAAAGTGTCATCTGAGGTTCATAGACAAAAAAATCAGCATGCATTACCAGGGATTTATGAAAAGATATCAATTGATGAAAATTCTTGGAAAAGTTAAAAAAAATATGTAAAAATTACTAAAGTATGTATCCTAGATGTTTCTTTTATCAAAACTTGTAAGCATAAAGCTCCCATTTTGAAATACTTACATATATTAGTCTCTCTTACAAATTAATCGTTCATTTCTTTCTTATCCTTACAATGAATATTTGACCCGATGGACGAGAGTGACTTATTGATAGCTAATCCATAAATCCATTTAATATTTGCTCAATTAATGCATGAATATATTTCATGTATATTATAAAATTTTGTAGGTTCCTTATTACCTATATGGAAGGAAGATAACATTTAAGGGCAAACACTTATATAAGAGGATTGCTATCCTATAACAGCACCTAGTTTGAAGTTTATTAAAAAAAACAGATGTACAGGATTAAATGTGACAGTTGTCAACCGACCAAGTTTCCAGTTATATCGTCCCTACAAAACAAACAAAAGGCAATACTTGTGATATCTCTACACTTTAACCCCTTTGGTCTCGAATTTTACAAAAGACTATTTGGATTTAAGTATGGTATGCTTAAAAACATTTAGCACAATGAACATTTCAATTCCAATACAGACAATTATGTGTTTATGTGACTCTTATTAAATTTTGAAATCACAAATTATAAAAGAGGACTATAATGTAGGGAAAATGTGAGGAAGAGCATGAGATCTAGAATCAAGTGTTTGGGCCGCTTGCTTTGAATAAGTGTATGACATGAAAAGAAAGTATCAATTACAATAAAGAGTATACAATGTAGCGTAGTTTTACATTTGTTTGCAAACATAATAGTGCGAATCATCACAGTCTCTGTCATCCCAGACGTAGGCGTGGTCTTTGTGTGACGAGCCGTCAATCAACAGACAATTTTCTTCACCTCGTCCATCGCCATTGTTTGGTTCCCCAGAACCGAAATGTGTGTAATTCATTTTGTCTCCATACGGTTCCCAGACAAAAGCGCCTTCTAAAGTCCAGTCTGTACCACCTAGCCAAACAACACTGTCTGAAACAGTTGGGCAGTCTTAAATATACTGTGTAACAATATATTCAAGAAGTTGTGTAAATCAGATGTGGATACTTAAAAATTCCAAAGAACTTTTGGACAATTTGAAATCACAAGATTTTACCAAAATCAACAGTTTAAAAGTTTATGACTTTTCAACTTTATATACAACCATTCCACACGATAAAGTAAAGTCCAGGCTTTTCGATATCATTGACAGCTGTTTTTTCAATATAAATGAGACTCATAAATAACTTACCTTGTCCTTGTACATTTGCAAAATTATTTTTTTAAAATCATTCTGATTGTACACACAAGTACTCTGAAGTCGACATCAAAAAGATGCTTGCGTTTCTGATTGACAGTATTTATGCTGTGTTTGGAGACCAGGTCTTCCAAAAATCAAATGGAATTCGTATGGTGTTTATTGTGCCCCGTTATTAGCAGACCTACTTTTGTATTATATATGAAGCAGAATTTGTGCAAAATCTTATGCGTGAAAAGAGGAAAATATTTGCAGTGGCCTTCAACTCGACATTTAGATAGATCTACGACGTATTAGCAATTAACAATTGTAATTTCCATTCTTATGTCGATATGATATATCCCGGTGAGCTTGATATAAAAAATTCACAGAGTTTGACATATCTGTTTCATATTTGGATATTTTACTTGAAAACGACGTTAATGGTAATCTTACTACCAAGCTCTAAGATAAACGTGATGACTTTAACTTTTCTCTCGTCAACTTCCCTTCTTATACAGCAATATACCTTCATCAACTGCATATAGAGTTTATGTATCTCAGTTGATTCGATACGCAAGAGCATGCTCTACGTATGAACAATATCTGACAAAAAAGTCGATGAAACAAGAATATCAGTAGTCTCGTTTAAAGTCATCATCTCGTTACTTCTATCGTCGATATAATGACATTAATGACATTATCAACAAATACAATTTATCATCGAGTCAAATGCTGACTGACGTTTTTTTGTACAAATTTTTAATCCATTATTTATACACTACATTGTCCACGGATTTTTCTGTTATTTTCCGATCATGACAAGGAGCACATGGTAGTCGGGCAGGGGATGCTCTCTTCTCATGGCACCTGACCCAACCTCTGATGTTTTGGAGTTCAGCTTGCACTGCTCCAATTTTGTATTGTTTTATGGACTTTTGATCTTGAATACTTTTCGTTATCTCCATATGTTTCACTATACAAAACTTGACCAGTCATCGGCAATTTTTTCCAGAAATTAGAGCTAGATATATTCTTGTCGTGAAACAAATTAAAGATCTATGCATTTTTAAATGTAAAAATGCTTTATAAAATATACAATTATAGTAACATAATGTATCTTCAATTTTTTTCTTTTTTCATGTTTATAGATTTTCAAAAATACTTTTATGAAGATTTTTTTGGTGACAGTCATTTAAAGATCGTAGCCTAGGATTCACGCTGCTAGATATACTAATAACTGTCTTAGAAATGAGCATATGTAGACAGACATTTTATCATAACTTACTGTGTGAATGTTTCATAAGACCTACAATAAAGTTCTGTTCTTCTTGGCTTAACACTGATGCAAGACTGGATCCATGAATCTGACACATTGTCTGGAATTTATATAATGTATCCATGTATTGACAGCAGGCATAAAGGAAAGATAAATACACGCTTCCCACAAAGAACCTATTTTTCCTTTATGTTTAATTATGCTGGATATACATGCATGTACATGTAATTAAATTTAAAAAAAAGGAGGGCACAAAGATCTTCATATTACTAGCAGACAGATTGATAAACGTTGCGCTTCCGACAAATATAAGACCGCGGAACATTAACTGGCAAGATTGGAAATATGCAGCTTACGTCATTACTATCTGTTACAATCAAAACATTCAATGATAGACAATGAAATGGGCGGGTACAATTCGACGCGGACGGCCGAGATAACACTGGATTGAAATTCTAGTTTGAAATTCATTTTCATTCCACCTCAGCTACGCTAGAAGGCACATTATTACTGATTGACCCAGAAGACAAATACTCTCAATTTCGGTATCGTTTGAAAATAATATATAAATCAGAATTTTCTGTCTAGGTTTTAAAGAAATTATATAAATATGAAGGGAAAGATATTTGTTGCCCGTTTGTTATTTAATTTATATGTATGTGTGCGGGGGGGGGGGGGTGTAATGTCTTGGAAATAAATTTAAAAAGTTGTCAAACATTTTTCATTGAAGACAAAAAAAAAGCTCTTGTCATCCTTAAAATCAATTGGTACAAAGCATGATCTGACTCGACAATTCCCCCCTTCTAGAATCAAATGGCCGTCTCCTGAAACAAAATGTCTTCTATGACTTTTACCAGTGTCCTAAGATTATATCATAGGTTATAAACACATATCAATATAAATTTCAACCAACATGTATTTGAGATATTGAAATTATTATTGTGTTTTGGATCATACATTCACACTTTGTTTTTAAAAACAGCCCAGGTGGATTGAAAATGAATTTCAAACTAGAATTTCAATCCAATGTTTTCTCGGCTGTCCGCGTCGAATTGTACCCGCCCATTTCTTTGTCTATCATTGAATGTTTTTGATTGTAACAGATAAAAATGACGTAAGCTGCATATTTCCAATCTTGCCAGTTAATGTTCCGCTGTCTTACATGACACTTCTCTGAGAAAAACATACCATTCCATGAAACCAGGACTCTTTCTCTGAACTCATGTGGTAACACGCGGAGCCATGTTTAGTCCATCCCAATGGGCACCCTAACACCACCAACACTTAATGAATGATTATTTTCATTAGGGTTATATATATGAAATATTACTTCTTAATTATTCATTTAAAATTATACCATATGCTTAAATTAGAATGCCTTGGTTTACCAACATTAAGAATTTTACACTTTCTCCTAAAGGAAGCTTATTCACACATTTATACTGAATTTTAAGCAAGTGTGCACATGTACTTTCTGAACAAAAAAATTACTTAAATTAGATAAAAGCAGAAAAAATGCCTACTCACCAACAGTTTGAAGGTAGTAGAATTGTAAAACCTTTCGGGTCATTGGATTTTGGTGAGAACCAAAAGTTGCTTAATTCAGGAGAGAAATTTACAGGTAATGCACTAGGACTAATTTTGGTTGTTTTAAAACTTCAATAAGATGTTGTCAAAATTGACCCCTTTATGACTTCCCAGTAAAATCATTACGTAAAAATTCCGCGAAAGTGCGCGATGTTATTGATGTAACACCTCAACTGAGTTGAGGGAAAAAAAATCACCTCTATTGAGGTGATACTCAGTCTGTTTGGTGACGGTGAATTGAGGAAATCCTCAGTTAGGGAAACCTCAAGGGGTTTGAGTTGAGTATTGAGGGTGAGGTTGAGGAATTTTGGTGACGGCGGGGCCTGGTCATTTATTTATCTCCAGATAAGAAAATCAGGAAACATTTAGCAGAAATATCTTACATTTATACACCTATTCTTATATCTTTAATGACCTCTCAACCTCTCTTGTCATGTAAAACTCTACTGTTAGGACCTCTGTAGTTTGCTACACTTCTAAAACGACTTTTTCAGGATTTGCCTGTCTGTCCTTTTATCCCACACGCGATTATCAATGAAAGGTTAATCAAGGTTAAGCACTGGAATTTCTTATCAATTAATCAAAGGAAATGAAGTACATGTAATTGTATTCTGAGAGCCTGTTCATTTTTGGCCGTACGGAAAAAGTACGATGGCCAACAGCAGCCGCCATTTTTGTTTAATAATGTTAAAGAATATTGTCATTTTTACCTCGATTTTGTCAATTTCCGTTGACAACTTACAACTTAAATGGAAATGCTATATGTACGAGATCTGTCCGGTAAAATCGTGGACAAGTCGTCTAGTGTGAAAAATAAACACCACTGCGTTCTGAAATTTTTACTATTAGTTAGAACATATTTCATGAATTCGAATATACATAGAAAATTTCAAATAAATGTATGTATAAATAAGCAAATTATGAGAGTTTATGATACGTATTTTATCGCCGTACGGCGCACGGATGATAAAGTCAAATGTCTAAAACAGCGTCACGTTTATTCTTTGCTAAAAATAAAACTGGATAAGTCCTTCTTAAATTTAGGAATTTCAATTATGCACATACTTGAGTCTCCATAAACAGTTGAGGAACCAATTTGGCACATACATGCAATCTTCTGAAGATTTATTAGTAAGTTACAGAAAATATTCTTACTGTCATTCAACAAATAGACAATCTTATATTGACGGTCAACAATGACAACGTCCAAATGCAAATTCAGAAGTACTCTATAAATATTGTTAGCACAGATAAATATAAATTTGTTTTTGATAACCCATAATATTTTAATAAAGTAGAGAACCATATTAAATTTCCCTCTCGAGTGTACTTATCGCACATGTACTAATTCTCTTAATAAAATACCTTATCATCATCATAAGCTAACCATAATCAATAATCTTCTTAATCCTAGTATTAAAAGTCAGAATCCGTGGTTCAAAAGATACATATATACTTTGCTTTATGCATTTTTTCAAAATTCTTTTTACTGGTTGGAAGAATTTCTCCAAACATCCCGGAAACTTCTGTATCAAAATTGTCGATAATAGTTCGCCTTTTAGTGAGATTTTTTTTTATTAATTTCAAAACCCTGTATATTTGCAATTTTTTAAATAAAGGCCTTCACAACTTCAGAAGGAGTTGTCTGTCTTTGTCCTTTTTACAAATTTACCAGTACAAAAGACAATCGACGATACAACGGCAAAAGTGGTTTCTTTCTTTTGATACGGTCATAAAATACCACTTTATAAAAATTATGTCCAGTACATTCCATGTGGTCAGATATTAGTAAATTGTACATTATTCGAAAGACAAAACTCTAAACTTTACGTAAAATACATATTTTTTTTTCAGAATCGGCGAAATTCGCTACAGCACGTACTTTGTTCTTTAAATACATATAACTTCAATTGAAGTAGAGTGTACGATAGAAAAAAAATTAAGTTTTAAGGCTATCTTTGCATGTATAAAATCCCTCTTTGCATCTAATTTTAGAACATCAAATATACAACTGTATTATAGTATCCTTCTGCTCCTTTATAAGCTGTCTTATTTTATATTCTTATGAAGCCGAATGTATTCAAAACATTTTACCTGAGAAGAGGAAAATAGCAGTGGCCTTCAATTCGACATTTACATACATCGTTTTATCGTTTATATGTTGTATCAACTAACAATAGTTGTTTTCATACGTATTTCGAGTCGATATATCCAAGTGATATTTTTTATGGAACTTCTTCATAAATATTGTCAACTCATACATTTTTAAGAGGTCAAAATTCCAAGATTTAAGGGAAAAAAATGTTTCAAGGGAATTATAAATTATAGTGGTTGAAGAAATTCTGCATTGCTAAACGTTTGAAAGTTTATACTTATAAAGGAAATGAATTCATGGATCTTTTCATACTGAGAAAACACAAAACTTTCACAGTATTATGAAGTCTGTCGAAGATAATGCCCGTGGACGGACCATTTACGAAAATACCAGTTGGATATTGAAATCTCGTATTTAACGTTGGAGGAAATTATCAAAATCATCTATCCTTATGTATTTAAATAATTAAAAGTAAAAAGTAAAATAAAGGAAACTATCAATATTATATGTTCTGGTTACCTAGTTACAACAAGAGGCCCACGGGCCTTATAGGTCACCTGAGCATCATGCAACAACTTTCAAATGATTGAATTTGTTTCATGTTTTAAGCTAGATGCTAAAACATTCACAATTTTGGAAGAGGCACTCTTGCTCATCATAACTGTGTACTTGGTTAGTTTATTTAAAACCTAGGAGCAGAGAAGAAGATTTTCAAAGATTTAATGCATTTTCACTATATAATCAATAGAGCCCTGTTCTAACGCCAGAACCCCTGACCCTGGGGCCATAAAATTCACAATTTTGGTAGAGGCACTCTTGCTCATCATAACTATGTACTTAGTTAGTTTATTTAAAACCTAGGAGCAGAGAAGAAGATTTTCAAAGATTTAATGCATTTCCACTATATAATCAATAGAGCCCCGCCCTAACACCAGAACCCCTGACCCTGGGGCCATGAGTTTCATAATTTTGGTAGAGGCACTCTTGTTCATCATAACTATGTACTTAGTTAGTTTATTTAAAACCTAGGAGCAGAGAAGAAGATTTTCAAAGATTTAATACATTTTCACTATATAATCAATAGAGCCCCGCCCTAACACCAGAACCCCTGACCCTGGGGCCATGAATTTCACAATTTTGGTGAAGGCACTCTTGCTCATCATAATTATTTACTGAATTAGTGTATTTAATGCCTAGGAGCAGAGAAGAAGATTTTCAAAGATTTAATGCATTTTCATTATATAATCAATATAGAGCCCCGCCCTAACACCAGAACCCCTGACCCTGGGGCCATAAAATTCACAATTTATGAAGAGACAATCTTGCTCATCATAACTGTGTACTTAATTAGTTTATTTAATACTCAGGAACAGAGAAGAAGATTTTCAAAGAAATAATGCATTTTCACTATATAATCAATAGAGCCCCTCCCTAACACCAGAACCCCTGACCCTGGGGCCATAAAATTCAAAAATTTGGTAGAGCCACTTTTGCTCATCATAACTATGAACTTAATTTGTTTATTTAATACCCAGGGGCAGAGAAGAAGATTTTTAAAGACTTACTGCATTTTCACTATATAATCAATAGAGCCCCTCCCTAACACCAGAACCCCTGACCCTGGGGCCATGAATTTCACAATTTTGGTAGAGGACTCAATGCTGATTACAATCATACCAACAGTTTGACTGCTTGATGTCCGGGAGTAAAGAAGAAGATTTTTAAAGATTGCACTATTTTTAGTGGTTTTTGCCCCACCCCCCAGGCCCCAGGGGGGCGGGGACCACGAAATTCACAATTTTTGTTCCCCTACACCCATAGATGCTATATGCCAAATTTGGTTGAAATTGGTTCAGTGGTTTCAGAGAAGAAGCTGAAAATGTTTAAATGTTAACGCACGACGGACGACGGACGACAGACGACGGACGACGACGGACAAAAACGGATAGCAATAGGTCACCTGAGTTTACTCAGGTGACCTAAAAATGCCTGTGTTTTAAAGGTGAACAAAGAATTGAAATTAATATTTCTCAAATTTTCTGTAAAATATTACGACTTATATATTGCAACAGCGTTTCACAAGAAAATATAATAAAATTCTTATTTCATTTCGAAGTTATTGAAACTTCGAATTTCTGGTCGGGTTTGATTGACACGTCCTTGCACTTTCACAAATTATCATTTTATTCTTAATGTGACCGGTCGGCGGGGGATACTAAGTATTCCATGACACCTTGTCCCACCTCTGATGTTTTGGAGGTTCATGTTTGCTCTGCTCCTATTTTGTATTGTTTTGTGAAATTTTGATCTTGAATACTGTTCATTATCTTCAAATGTTTCAAAGTGGCAAATTTGTTGCATGTTAATGAAAAAATATTAAAAATATAATATAGCCAATTCAGAGTAAAAATGTTCGGAGGGACTTATAACGTTACCATGGTTTCATTACTAAGGAAGAAATTCTTCAAAATCATACCAGTATTAAACATATTTCATACTCCAAACAATCGAATTTGAATTAAATTACCCATACTAAATTCCTTCAATTCAAAGAACCCTTTACGAATAAAGTCGTAAAGCAGGTCTTAATCAGATATGGATACTTTTAAAACTCCAAATTTTTTTTTAGGAAATACATGTATAAAGAAACAAAATTTTACTAAAACCAATCATACTGAAACGGACATCTAACCGCTTCTCACGATAGATTTAAGTACGAGTTTTTTAAACACCAAAACTTGCTGGTATTTCAAATAAACTTTGTCATCCGTATGCTGTACGATTGATTTGTTATAAACATTCTGATTGAACTTACAAGTACTCCAAATTTGATATTAAAAAAGATGCTTGAATTTTTTTGTTGAGAATTTTTTGTCGTTTTCAGAAACAAGTTTTTCAACAATCTGTTGAGCTTACCATGGGTTTTATATTCACACAAGTATAGTTTTTTTTTCAAACTAAATCAATAAGCAGAACTACACCCGTCTCCCTGTTTCTTGACTTTGTGTTTTCCATAAGTTTATTTAATACATACTTTAGCCCTACCATATGAAGGACAGTGCAAAACAAACAAAACATACAAGCTTTAATGTTTGAATGCAATAAAGAAATGTGTCTTTTTACTGTAAAATTGAATAAAAACTTTTTTTTATAGTTGCCATGAAAAAAATACAGTGTTATAAAGTTTCATTCACATTGCAATTTTCCTCTGCTTGTTATGTCGATTGTTTTCAGAATAAAAGTCTTAAAAGGATATATATACGAGGTTTTCTCAATAAACAATGGTTTTTTCCATTCTTATGTCGATAAATTATATCCTGGTGAGCTTGGAATTAAAGATACCACAGATTCTGACACATCTGTTTCATATTTGGATATTTTACTTGAAAAAGATGTTAATGGTAATCTGACAACAGCTTTTTTGATAAACGTAATGCCTTTAACATTTCAATTTTAACTTCCCTTGCTTTTACAGCAATATATCTTCATCACCTTCATAAGGAGTTTATATTTCCGATTCGATACACAAGAGTATGATCTACTTTTGTTTAATTTCTAAACCGATGTAAATTATTGACAAACAAGTTGATGAAAGAAGAATATAATTAGTCTCATTTAAAGTCATCATTTCGTAATTTCTATGTTCGATACAATGACTTTGTCAGCAAATTGACTTACTTGACTTATTCCTGTTTGCTCCTTTTGGAGCATAGGGCCGACAGCAAATGCAATGTATCATTTAGTCTAATACTGACTTGCATATTTTCATATTTGTTGTTAAGCCATTATTACACCCTGAATTTTCGACGGATTTTCCTGCTGTTTCCCGATCATGACAAGGAGTACACGGGGGGGGGGGGGGGGTTGAAACCGATCCGCAGGGGATGCTCTCTCCCCATGGCACCTGATCCCACCTCTGATGTTTTGGAGTTACTTTTTGCTGTGCTCCAATTTTATAATGTTTAATAGACTTTTGAGGTTAAATACTGTTTGTTCTCTCCATATATTACATTTGCAGTTGCACGAAATTTAAAACATCCAATAAGATTGGATTCAACTCATGCAATTACTAGCAATAACAAAAGAGAGGAAGGTTATAGTCCGAATATTGTAAAATACTTCAGCTCTATATTCCGTCTGGAAGACCGTAACAGGCAGAATTTATTCATGAACTTGAAAATGAAAAGAAAGTATTTGCTGTGACTTTCAGTACCAGATTTAGATACATCAGCGACGTTTTATCAATTATAAATATTTACATTCTTACGTTAATTTGAATCCACATTTTAAAAACAGAAGTGTTTTTCATGCCACGCAAATATTTTTTTTGATGAGTACAAAATCTTCTATGTTGTGTGGTCATGATAAGCTATTTTATTGTAATAGCTACATTGTAGAATATGTTTTCTTTGTGATAGGTATCTCAAACAAGATAATTTATCGTGACTCATGAATAAAATTGTTGTGTTGACAACAACTGCCTCTTCGTTTGTTTGTTTTGTTTTGTTTATTTACACTCAGACCATACAATGGTATATGAGGTACAGGAACATATTTACATATATACTAAATACAAAGTCAAGTAAGGAAGAGTAGTGTCAATTAAAGAAAATAGTACCTAGAAGCAGGCCAATATCTTTTTAACAAACAAAGACAGTTTTAACAGCGAATCAACATGTATGATGGACATAATTTTCTCAAATTTATAAGTATTTACATGACAACAATACTTCTTATCAATAAGTTTTACCCGTAAAGACGAAAAATATGGACATTCCATTAGATAGTGAAATTCATCACCCAAAGTATTTTTGTTACATAAATTACATAATCTTAAAGATCTATCAGTATTAGTCCATCTACCAGATTCGACTGGAAGTGTGTGGTTACAATTCTAAATTTTGTTAATACAATTCTTAAATCTTTTGGGAGTTTACTTAAGTACATTTCTCGTCCAAAATTGTTTTTGAAAATCCTGTAATTTAAACATTTAGATGAATTTTCTATGTTCATATGCCAGTCTTGTAAAAATAGATTTTAACCATGTAATACTAATGAAATTTTGATTCATCAACACATATGACAGACCACAGGAATTCAAAATATCCCTTATATATTTCAACCATGGGTGCATAAATGATCCTTCAGAAAATTGTTTATAAAGAAAACAATACATTATGTATGCCAGCTTACTCTCATGTGACATCAAAAGTTTAGCCCAGTAAGAAATCGTTCGTACCTTTATACGTATTATTAAAGGATATCGCCCAGTTTCCCCATACACCATACAATTTGGGGTACTGGACTTAACATGCAAAACAAATTTCAAAAATTTTAAGTGTACCTTTTCTAAAATATCTATGTTTTCGTAGGCCCAAACTTCACACCCGTACAACAAAATCGGGCTTATAACTCTGTCAAAACTGAAGTCGCGATAATTTTATGTTGCACATGTTCCACTATCTAGATAAAATACGTTCAATATACGGATGCCTCGGTCAATTTCCAGAGAAAATCCAAACTGATGAAACAAGAATAACAACAGTCTTGTTTAAAGTCATTATTTTGCAATTTTATGGTCGATGGTCTATACAATCACCTTGCTTGTCAGTAAATACAATCTCTTATTAAGTGGAATGCCTAAAAACAATTGTTAAGCAATTATTTACACAATGAATTGTCTACGGATTTTCTGTTTTTGTCTACGGATTTTCTGTTTTCCCGATCAAGACAAGGAGCATACGGCAGGTGTGACCGGTCAGCAAAGGATACGTAATCCTCCATGGCACCTGATCCCAGCTCTGATGTTTTAGAAGTCTGTTGTTTGCTCTGCTCCGAACGTGTATTGTTTAATTTACCTTTTGAGCATGATTGTTGTTACGTAATTTTTATAATTATTTAATTCAAAAGATTTGCTTTTCAACTAAATTATTTTTTTGCTAAACTGAAATTGAAATTTGTTTTATGGTAGCATACATACCATTCTAAATGTGCTACCATATACCATCTAGATAATGTTTGTCAACGTGAGATATCGTGACAAGTCAAGATAGCTAATCTTGAATTGACTTGATATTTATTGCATTAAGAAATTAAGTGAATGGCATCAATATGACAAGTTCAAGTTCAATTTATTCACTCAATTCGATTAATGGTACATGAGGTTCAATATACAATAGAAACAAAATATATATACAAGATACACGTAAAATGGCGGAAATACATTCAAATTATGAAATAACTATGGCACAATAAAAACCAGAAGTCTCTGTCGAGACTGTAGCTCTACTGGTTTATACTTAAAACAAAGGAAGAGAAAAGTAGCAGTTGGGACTTGAGACTTTAAATCAGCAATAAATAGAAAAATGATCCTTGCCACTCATCAAAATAAAAACCAATGCACAGAATTATGTATCTTAGTATAGTCTACTTGTGTGCCAAGTAATATTGAAATTGGACCAAAACTGTAGGAGGAGTAGCATTTTGAAAGAATTTCAAAGAAATTTCTATTTTTAGTAACCACGGCAACACCGTTCATCGAAATCAAAAACCGATGCACAGAATTATGTATCTTAGTGTAGTCTACTTGTGTGCCAAGTTATATTGAAATCAGACCAAAACTGTAGGAGGAGTAGCATTTTGAAAGAATTTCACAGAAATTTCTATTTTTAGTAACCACGGCAACACCGTTCATCAAAATCAAAAACCGATGCACAAAATTATGTATCTTAGTGTAGTCTACTTGTGTGCCAAGTTATATTGAAATCGGACCAAAACTGTAGGAGGAGTAGCATTTTGAAAAATTGTTTACAGACAGACAGACAGACAGACGGACGGACGACGGACGCATTACTATCGCATAAGCTCTTCTGGTCTCTGACCAGTAGAGCTAACAATGCAAACTTTTTTTAGCGTGACACACATACAAAAATCCCAGTAGCATGGTTTGTTGATGGATAAGATATGCAGACGAGTTGTGCGCTTTCTATCCTTGAGCCTTTACCAGGAGATAGAAAACACAGAGCGATTTAAACGATTTAAATAAAAATCATATCCAACCGCAGCGATGGGAAACTTTAAAGATACACCCAATCAGTGAAAAGTAACGGAAGCGGAAATACTGTAAATAAATATCAACTTGCAAACAAAATTCACCTGTGATTCAAAACAATGAAAACAATATGAAGGGCCATAATGCAATTATCATAAATTTCTGTGAGACTCTTTGCTTTCACGATTTTACAATACTCCATGACGAGATAATGGACTATGAGTAATTTCAAATATCCACGATGTTTGACAATAAAACAGACATCGTTTAAATTGTTGATTTTACGAAGATTAGTATAATGACAATCACTCCATTAGTGGAATGTAACGATTAATTGTGTAATTTGGTCAAGTATATTGATGGAAAAATTGTGCAAAAATCTGTTTTGTTTGATTAATTATGCGTCAAACAATAGAGGCAAGTTTGGTCTACCTAGGATCGATATCCCGCGATGAATTATGCCGCGTTCTGTGATGCTAGTCTCGTTCAGTTCGGGTGCGCCAGGGACGTAGAGTGCGGCCCAATACTATTCTATTATTAATGCAGATGGAACATGTCGCATTGTGACAGCTATTGATATAATAACGGAGCAATCGTGGTAAAGCTTATCTCAACAAGTAGAAGAAGAAAAAGAAAAATTATTACATCAACAACTTTAAAAAATGGTGAGTAAAATTGTGGTACTTTTATGTATTATTAACTTTTTTAATTGTAAACAAAATTTTCCCCACGATAAAGGGGTTATAGGAGATTTGAAGTACTAGAAACTGTAGAGTACTTAAAACGTTGTATGTTTACACCGGCTAAAGTATTAGAGATAGCTTGTAGTGAAAAGTTTTTAAGAATTCAAGTGATCGGAGACCTTACGATACTGACATCGATTCTGTTAGCAAAACAAACAAGAGCGATGGGACATATTTGTTATTTTTTGTAAGAAACATTTGAATGCAAAATCGATTTGGAGAAATCCCTACAAGGATAGATGATAACCTCATAATCACTTGATCGTCGTTAAGCTTGAAATAGCTGCAGTAATTGGACTTTGACACATTTCTTGGGCCATGATAAATGCACTTCTTTCAGACATTAATCACTTACTCACTATTTTAGTGGGTTTTTTTTATTGCTTGGACTAATTCCTCATTTTATTTTACTTTACATATTTTAATTATTTTTTTTTACATAAATATGCGATCTTCATTCAATACAATAGAGATTTTTTTTTAAGGGAAAATGTATACTTTTGTTTTTCACAAAACAAATGTTCTAATAAAAAGAAGAAAAAAACTTGTATAAAAAGAAGAAAAAAACTTGTTTGGGTAAAAACGAAAAGGAAAGAATTAATTTGAAATGTAATTTTGCTATCAATCTTCTACTTTTTTTTCTAAATATCTAGACCTGGAATTCGTACATTCTTCCTAAAAAATAAGCCTCGGTTATAAAATCTATATTTTCATTCAATAAAATTTCAACAACCTCATACGGGCATATTACACACGTGCGTGAACTTGTTTTCAGACACACATTATCACAATCTTTTAAAATAGTTTAGTTTCAGGCTTGTTTTCAAATAATTTTAACATGGCATGTTTGTTTTTGTCATATTTTAAACTAAAAATGTAAAATCACTGAGTAATCATTGAAATCATTATAGATAACGCAAAGTACCCAATATTATGATTTTTCTTAATATGTCAGAATTTTGGTAAACTTTAACTTTTATTGAGGGATTTTATCGGCAAGACATACAAGAATGGTATGGATTGACGCGAGAAGACTGAAAACTTTAGCACGCCAAGATAATTGCATTATTACAATCGATAAACTCTGAACTTGAAAATACAATAACAACATATGATTTTGCATTGGCACGTTTTCTTTTAACTCTTGCATATTTAATGTTTTTTCCTCATTTATCAGCGTTTAGACTATCGATCACATTACTCCATCGTCACGCTATTTGGTACTCAACTGTGTCTGATTTGGACTTTGTTTAAAAAAATAAACTCGCATTAACAGACCGACATTCTGGTCACGTGACTGATACATCGCACGGCTTTCAATAAACCAGGAATATTAATCTATGTTTACCATTCATTTGGGATCTGAAATAAAAGTATTCCCTCCACAAACATATCCTGTAGGGAGTTCTTTGTATTTATGATCGCTCTTTAATCGATCAACGCAACTTGCTATCATTAATATTAGATGTTCTGAAACCGAAGGTATATTTCACTAATAATTGGTAAAGCAATGGACATGGTATTACATATAGCCAATCCTTTTGTTCTTTTACAATCAATAATATGTTATTGTTATACCAAATAATAGTTGCATACTTTCACGCTTCAGAGGCGTCAATAATTGAATTTGGCACAGCTGGAAGACATTAATTCGAAATATGTTCGAACACGTTCCCTGCAGACCCTCTATATACACTATATTTAAGGTCATCCCTCTGCAATGCGTATTACAGATTACAGGTCTCACAATTATTTTCTTGACTGTGTATAAAAAATGAAAAAGAATAATTTATTTTACATAATTCATTTCACTCACATTGTTGGACAAAATGACGATTTTTTCCCTTTCATATGAATAAGAGCTAGTTTATTTACCCACTCGCGCTTGGTTACATGTAACTGACACAGTTTATAACCAGAAGTCTCTGTCGAGACTGTAGCTCTACTGGTTTATACCTAAAACAAAGGAAGAGAAAAGTAGCAGTTGGGACTTGAGACTTTAAAACAGCGATAAGTAAAAAAATGATCCTTGCCACTCATCAAAATAAAAACCTATGCACAGAATTATGTATCTTAGTATAGTCTACTTGTGTGCCAAGTTATATTGAAATCGGACCAAAAGTGTAGGAGGAGTAGCGTTCATCAAAATCAAAAACCAATGCACAGAATTATCTATCTTAGTGTAGTCTACTTATGTGCCAAGTTATATTGAAATCAGACCAAAACTGTAGGAGGAGTAGCATTTTGAAAGAATTTCACAGAAATTTCTATTTTTGTAACCATGGCAACACCATTCATTGAAATCAAAAACCAATGCACAGAATTATGTATCTTAGTGTAGTCTACTTGTGTGCAAAGTTATATTGAAATCAGACCAAAATTGTAGGAGGAGTAGCATTTTGAAAGACTTTCACAGAAATTTCTATTTTTAGTAACCACGGCAACACCGTTCATCGAAATCAAAAACCAATGCACAGAATTATGTATCTTAGTGTAGGCTACTTGTGTGCCAAGTTATATTGAAATCGGACCAAAACTGTAGGAGGAGTAGCATTTTGAAAGAATTTCACAGAAATTTCTATTTTTAGTAACCATGGCAACACCATTCATCGAAATCAAAAACCAATGCACAGAATTATGTATCTTAGTGTAGTCTACTTGTGTGCCAAGTTATATTGAAATCGGACCAAAACTGTCGGAGGAGTAGCATTTTGAAAAATTGTTTACAGACAGACAGACAGACGGACGGACGGACGACGGACGCATTACTATCGCATAAGCTCTTCTGGTCTCTGACCAGTAGAGCTAAAAATCAATGAAACAGAATTTAAAAAGCAGCGTTTAAGCCAACAGAATTTAAGCTAGTAGTCTCCTTTATTTTACACCAGGAATAACGGAACAATGACCTTAGTTTCAAGCCGAGTTTATTTTGGTTTTCATTAATGAGTTGGTCCATCCTGTTATGGCGTTGTAAGTGCGAAGACTTAGTAACTTTCGTAAATTTCACAAAATAGTATCTTAAACAGGTACTTGAAGAATCAAGACAGTAGTCCTTCTGCATGGGACTAACATGGAATGGCTAATGAATGGAATAATTGCATTACAAACGGGCAAAATCATTTATCCTCCATAGTCTCACTTTCCATATTTCTTTACTGGATCAACGAACGAATCAAATACATAAAAATATCTTTTTAGGCACAGAAAGAACAAATCAAGCTTACTGATGAACAAGTTGCAGGTGAGTTTCACCTATTTTCAACAATATTCACTTCACTTCACAAAAAAATATATTCACTTCATGTTACATGTAGTAGGTACCATTCTTAGTGAGTCAATGATATTTGATAGGCATCTGATTGAGAAAAGTAAAGTATTCTAATCAGAAATCAAAGGTCAGTATCCAAAATGCTACACACACATAATTGTTTGACGTACAGACTTCTGAAAAAAGTATTCTTACAAATGAAGACAAAATGCACCGAATCCATTTACTTTAAAAGTAAACCAACACCGATATATTATTTTTTTTTAAAAATCTAATTGGTATCAATACCAGCCATCCACTTCCTTATCAATTATAATAAATAAAAAAATAGTCGTCATACCAAACTTTGTAAACTAATAAACATGTTTTCTGGAACAGTGTATCTGTAAGACGAGAAGAAATATGGAAGAGACACAAGTTTTCAGGTGTATTTAATTATTATTGTAGAATTCAGGGAAGCCTTCAACTTGTTTGACAAAGATGGAGACGGAAGTATAACAACGACGGAGCTGGGTACAGTCATGCGCAGTCTCGGACAAAATCCCACCGAAAGCGAGCTGCAGGATATGATCAACGAAGTGGACTACGATGGTACGTGTTGTTATCGACATCCTGTCGCTCACCTTTCAGCGCTTGTACAGGAAAGACCTGTTATAGTCTCGGCTTACTGATGTCACACCTGTCTGTTTCTCATAAAGGTTATCGGACTACATTGATTACTCGAATGACAAATCGAACTTTGTCAGAATTGATACGTTTTGACTGTTACAAAAAGGACAATCATATTTGTCACATTATATAATGGCATATCGATACAAATGAATCCAAATGCAGTTTAAAATGTTTACAAGTTTTTCATTTATTGTATGATGTTACTGTATAGCATTCCCATTTTAGGCAAAATTACTTTTCTTTAGTGAGAAGTGTAAATTTTCATTCTCATGAATCAAATATTCGATATAAATATAACTATGTAGAAACTATATCTTCAGTAACCTTTCACCTTTGTAGAAACTAGTATTCATCTGCATTGGAATATTTAGTTTAATTTGAGATCAATTATAGGAAAATGTAAAATAAATATGAAATTGCTCTCACTCTATTCAGTTATTGAAAAGTGTATTCCCTGTGAGTACACAGTTACTTCTAATTTTGTCACTTCGGTGAGATTTGTTTGACTAAATCGGTGCATTACGGAAGTATCAACCAAATCATCTCTCAGTGCTACGATTTTAAGTATTTTCTGGGGCTGTTTTTGAACTCGTTTGTGTGAAAAATTTATGGATTAAAAACATGTATCTTCTATGAAGATATTTTATAAGTACAATATATGCGTAGTCAATGTATCATATGATTCATATCTATATAAAATTAACTTGATATATTTCAATACCACCTAAGCCTCTTTATAAAGAGAGACTGAAAACTTATCAATCTGAAATGTGCCCATGTTAATGTTTCTGAGGTATGTTTCCAAAAAACAAATATCACTCTGTTGCTCTTTCAGAAAGCGGAACAATCGATTTTGACGAATTTCTTCAGATGATGGCTCGTAAGATGAGGGATACTGACACTACAGAAGAATTAAAGGAAGCCTTCAAAGTGTTCGATAAGGACGGTAATGGATTCATAAGCGCTTCCGAATTACGTCACGTGATGAAGAGTCTCGGAGAACGACTCACAGACGAGGAAGTTGATGAAATGATCAAAGAGGCGGATCTAGATGGTGACGGCCAGGTCAACTACGAAGGTAATTTGAGGCGAAATGAGGCACATTGTATAAGTAACAATAGACCTGTCATGCAATATTGAACGGCATTGGCTGAAATATTAATAAGTATGCAACATTACTGGATACATAATTATATCAAATTTCACGGCCACGCACCATCATTGATCAATAATTATAGAAAGATTCCCCTTTTGACAAATTCATATTTTGCAGACGAAAATCTCTTTGTTATTCATCAGGCATAAAAAAAGATTATTCATTGTCAAAATAAAAGTCTATCTTTATATACATTTATTAGGTGTAAAAAAAAAAAAGATGTATTATGACTGATGTTTGAAACGTTCTAGAGTATGGAGACAGTTTTCAAACTAATCTTAATTTTATAGGATGTTTTGTTTTATATCCGAGTGGTATAAAAAATGCATAAAGAACTTTTGTAATGTCATAGTTATGCGATGTACAGGTGTAGATGTTGAATCTAAGGTGTTTTCTGCTTTCAGAGTTTGTTAAAATGATGGCTTCTGGGAAGAAAGACTCATAGAAGTCAACTAACAAGACATGGAGTGAATGCTGAGAGAAATTACTTATCAATCTACTAACGAAATTAAGATCATTGTTGAAAATGGACGCTGACTGAAAATCACATACCGGTGTTCAACACTTCAGTTGAACTACATGTTCGAATCAATACTTGTGCGAGTGAATGCAATTTACGTTTCATATTTTTCAAGTTTGCTGATAAAATATAATGCTCAAAACTGCTGGTTTGATGAAGATTAATCCGTATTAGACTGTTTTATACCGTATGAACATGTATTTTTTGTCTTATCACAGTTCAATGTTTATGGATTTCATTATATATGCACTTAGTACATTTATTCATTTAGCGTTTATAGATCCTAATGCACAAAGTTATTAATTATGTATTTAGAGGAAAAGATCTTTTAAAAAGCACACTGCGTTTTATTATAGTTTTATTTCTTTATTATTAAATTTGTAAAAAAAAAAATGGATTCTGTTCTAGCATTTCCTTTGTATATTTAAAAATGATTTGTAGCATCTATCAGTTTGGTCATAGGCTCTTCTATATCTTATGAATAAAACATCTATACATTATTTCTTTTTACCTCTAAAACAATATATAACATAATGAATAAAGTAGCATCGTGAATTTCTGAATGTTTCTGGTTTTCTTACACAGACGATCAGTAAGCACTTAAAAATTTCAACCCTTTTTGTCATTGGTCATTTGCAAAATTACTTTGTTAAAACATTCTGATTTTGCACGTCAGTAATCTGAAGTTGATATTAAAAGATGCATGCTCGGGTTTCTGATTGACAATATCTATGTGGCTTTTGGAGACCAGGTCTTCAAACATTCTATTGGGATTCCCATGGGTACCAGTGGCGCCCAGTTATAAGCAGACACAGTTTTTGTATTCATATGAAGCATAATTTGTTCAAAATCTTTTACGTGAAGAAAGAATGCACTTCCTGTGGCCTTCAACTGGACATTTAGATATATCGACGACGTATTGTCAATTAACAATAGATATTTCCATTCTTATGTCGACGATGTATCCCGGTGAACTTGAAATAAAAGATACCACCGAGTCTGACACATCTTTTTCATAATTGGATATTTTACTTGAAAAAGACTTAATTTTTATCTAACAACAGAGCTTTATGATAAACGGGATGACTTTAACTTTTCAATTGTCAGCTTCCCTTACTTATTCATCAATATACATTCATTGCCTGCATACGGAGTTTATATCTTTCAGTTGATTCGATACAGAAGAGCATGTTCTACGTATAAACAATTTTAAAACACAGTAAGTCATTGACTAACAAGTTCATAAAGCAAGCATATCAGCAGTCTCTTTTAAAGTCATCATTTCGTTAGTTCTATGGTCGATACAATGACTTTGTCAGCAAATACAATGTATCATTTTAAATGCTGATTTTTTTTCATATTGATTGTTAGACCATTATTCACACACTGTCGGATTTCCCCCGTTATTTCCAGATCATGACAAGGAGCACAAGGCGGGTGTGACCGTTCGGCAGGAGATGCTCATTACATGGTATCTGATCCCGCCTCTGATGTTTTAGAAGTCCATGTTTGCACGGCTCCTATTTTGTAACGTTTAATGGACTTTTGAGCTCGAATACTGTTTGTTATCGGCCCATATTTCATTTTGTTTAAAAATTCTTGAGATTTCTTATCCTATCGAAATTTTTAAGGTTAACATGTAAAGTGGCAAGGTTATTAGGCAAAAATACGATAGATAATGTACAAATCACTTCTTCAAGGTCTATCTATTGTTTGAGATACAAAACTCTTAAAAAGAAGAAGTTGAAGAAATTTTTATACATTATATATCCATTCATCACAAAATTAAAAATTGTTTAGAAATCATTCCTTAGAAATTTTTATACAAATCAAAAAATTACTTTGTTTAGAAATCATTCGCAGCTGGTATTTCAAAGATGCTACAATCCCTCATTAAGAATTTCTCTAGATCTTTGGAGACCGAAGGCTATATATAACTGTGGTCTATATTACGAATGATAAAGTATATTCCTATAATGCAGATTTAAAAAAACAACAACTGATTCATATGGAGAAAAAAAAAATGGTGATGATATTTATCAATCTATTTACAATATTTTTAATTAATATTTACTAATTTCATTCATATATCAACCCAATATATCCAAGTGTATTAAAAAGACATTACAGATTCTGCCACATCTGTTTGATAATTGGATGTTACTTTGACTACGGATGTGTGTCTGACCTACGAAAAAGTAAACTCTCTCATCATCAACTACCTCTGTTATGTTGTAAAACAACTGTTTAAAGTCTCAGATCGATACTTTTTTAAAACTGTGTCGAGCTCGAAATATCTTAATATAACATAAGGCTTACCGGTACATTTCGCGTTTGTAAGTTTACGGTAGGTATAACGACCTTATTTGCAAATACAACATATTGTGGGGTCGATTTTACTGACATGTCATCTACACATTGTTAGGTCATTGTTCTTATACATATATTCCACATTCTGTTATTGTTTACTCATTTTACTTAATCAATACAGAGATATAATGGGGGGGGTGTGTGACTGGTTGACAGAGAATGCTCACTCCTCCAAGGCACCTAATCCAACCTCTGGTCTTAACGTGTTTTTACCCTGATCATAATTTGCATTTTTTTTTTACAGAATTTATCACTGTTTGCTATCTTCATGTATTTCATAAAACATCAGTTAAAAGATTTTACCAAGACTATTGGAGGAAAACTACCCCCACCAACTTCAGCTGTTGTTTTTCTGGACTCAAAAATACTAATTTATTTTATTACCATTGTTCTATTCCCTATATTAATGATTTTCCTATTGTTGATGTGTATGTTCATTGATCATGAAGTTATTAGGGCCCCGCTCGGCGAGCGCCCTATAGTGATCAGTCTGTCCGTCCGTCCATCTGTCCGTCCGTCAGTCCGTTCGAGATCTCTTGTCCGGAGCATATCTTCTCTCTCCTTGGCCTAATCTGGCTCATACTTCACCCACGGATTGCCTTTGGGTAACCGATGTGCAGTGACCTTGAACCAGGTTTCTTGGTCAAAGGTCAAGGTCATAGCAGAATTATATGAAAAATCCTTGTCCGTAGCATATCTTCCTCTCCTCTTGGCCCAATCTGGCTCAAACTTCACCCACAGAGTGCCTTTTGGGTAACTGGTGTGCAGTGACCTTGAGCAAAGTTTCAAGGTCAAGTGTCAAAGTCAAAATAGCCTTTCTGTATAAATTCTTGTCTGGAGCATATTTTCACTTTCCTTGGCCTAATCTGGCCCATACTTCCCAAACAGAAGGCCTTTGGGTAAAGGATGTGCAGTGACCTTGAACCGTGTTTCTAGGTTAAAGGTTAAGGTCATAGAAAAATTATATTAAAAAAAATCCTTGTTCGGAGCATATCTTCTCTCCCCTTGGTCCAATTAGGCTCATACTTCACTCACAGAGTGCCTTTGGGTGAAGGGTGTGCTGTGACCTTGAACCATGTTTCTAGGTCAAAGGTTAGGCCATAGCAGAATTATGTGAAAATCCTTGTTCGGAGCATATTTTCTCTCCTATTAGTCCAATGTTGCTCATACTTCACTCACAGAGTGCCAATGGTCAGAGAATTAGCAGTGACCTTGAACAAAGTTGTTTGGTCAAGGTTCAAGGTAAAAAAAAATAGCCTCTCTTTTGAAAGCCTTTGTTTGCTGCATAATTTTTTCCCTTAAGTCCACTCAGCCTCAAACAAATTGACTGGATATGGAACATTTGTGCTTTTCCATCCATATTATGATAGAGGATATCCAACAATTTTCAAAGAGGATACATTTCTAAAAGTTTTTTTATTTGTATTATTTTTCAGGGAGTAATGCTTTTTGTCCACATTTTAACCTCAAACACCTTCTTTGTCCACATTTTAACCTCAAACACCTTCAAAATAAACCCTTTTCAGCTACGTTACATTTTCATGTTCATTGCTAAAAGCTGGGCCCTTTGAGATGGCCATCATCTCAGTGATATCTAGTTTGATATTAAGATGGAGCAGAATGTAAACACGGTACGTTCACTTGAATTTGTTCGAGGGCTCAGTGTTAAAGATAAATTAAAACCATCGGTCCTTGTATTGATAATTATAGTGACATTTAAGTGTCACAGCTATTGAGCTGTGGTATGGGTATTGATCTTAAAACATATGTCTGTTCAACCAATTTTTGTATGAAAAGATTTAAACTCAAGGTTATTCGACCTTCCCCTATTGAAATACCGCCATTAGCAAAGATTTTAAAAGATTATGCGGCTATGGTAAGCCATTTTGTTTACTTCTACCTGTATTTAGTTCTTTCATATTAGATTCATTACAAAGCCCTAGATTAACTCAGATTATCAGTAGAACTCTGATAAAAGTAGATTAGAAAGGCAACCAAAAAGCCAAACCATGCCAAGAGTCTATTGAATTTATTTTGTTCTAGAGAACCTAGCATTCCTGTTTAGCTTATAGTTTTGTAAACAAATCTGGATATCTGTAACCCATGTTTGTTGTTTATTGATATGGATATGTGAAAAGGCTCTCTAAAAATCTATTGGATTCCATAACGTATACAAAGTAGAAAGAATAACAATGCCACCGAAAAAGGTTCTTAGGAAAAAGAAAAAGAAACCAGTGAAAAAGGTATTGTGGATCTCGAGTGAAACTCCTAAAAATTACTCATATCATGTTTCTCAATTTTTTCTTGTATTTTAGGAGCCTGTCATAACCGATGAGCAAATAAAGTGTGAGTCATTATTATTTTACTTATTACACATATAATTAATACTATTGCTATAACAAGTAAACGCAATCTACATGTACATGCATGTAAATTTTTCTTTGATTTAGGAATATAGAAATATGCATAATATAGTAATTAAATTTTACTTTTGTTATCATTGTTGTTGTAGGAGAATATAACTGCAATTATAAGTTTATCTTTCCTTTAATTCTTATTATAAAGTGTACCAGCAAGTGTTCAGACGTTTTGACAAGGATAAGAATGGTACGATATCGGTAGAGAACCTGGAAAAAGTCATGAGGGCCCTAGGACAGGATATTGCACATGACGACATTAAATCCATGATACAAGAGTATGACAGAAGTGGTAAGCTTGCACAATGTTCTCAATTTCTGGAAAGACTTTCATGACATCTAGAGTCTATGTAAAATCGAATGAACTCCCAAAAAATGACTCGAACAATTTTTCAAATATTAAAACACATATTAAATCATATAGTCAAACCGCAGAAAAGAGCTGACCAGTCAAAGAACAATTCATGTTATTAATACTAAAAGCAAATCTTAAACAACAAGCTATAATAAACGGAGGTTTCCCCCTTTTAGACTGAGACTTATTATTAACGATCAGAGAAATTACAAAGCGATAACAGTATGGAGTTCTCTCATTTAAGCAAATGGCTTCATAAGCTACCTCGATTTCATGGAAATCATGGTCAAAAGAGGTGACCAGACAGAAATTATAACAGAGGAAGAACTCACAGAGGTGTTTAGTGTGTTCGACATGGATGGTTGTGGGACGATCACTGCTCATGATCTCCGGGAAGCGATGGCGGCATTAGGAAATGGTATTACGGAACAGGAAGCGGAAGAACTCGTACAAAAGGCGGACAAAGACGAAGACGGATTAGTTAACATATCCGGTAAAATAAATAGAACAGGGTATTTTAGCATACTGACAATAGAAACTTTTACAAACAAATACTATTTTTAAGACATTAATGTAATTAACGTATATCTGTTTTACAGATTTTGTAAAAATGATGGTTACAACCTCCTGAAAGACATTTTTGTTGAAAAAGGATACGCAAGACGTTCATTTAACATCAAGTACTGTGCAATGTGCAATTTTTCATCTGTGATATAAACTCATACGATATACAACAAACACAAAATGCTATGTTCGGCGTTTGTTTCAGTTACATCTGAACAGAATACGCAGTGATAAATTTCTGCTTTGTCGATATTTTTATAGATTACTTAAAATCGTTTGTTTTCTTTAGATTTACTTTGAAAAAAGTAAGAAAACGTGTACACAAGTCTTGATTCTTAATATGATATGACTATCAAATGTCCTTATAAAAATATATGCGTTATATAATGATACAAGTTTATAAATGCTGTATTGCTTCCTTTCGCCAATTATATTATTAGACAATAGAGAGTCGGTCGAGGAGATTGATCATGTCTCGATCTGCATAATTGTCATACCCCAGCAATTAAAAAATATCATGTCATTTGAGAATAAAAAAAATCTCAATTTTTACATACAACTCTCATTTCATTATTTTCTTTTACATGTACTAATTTAAACAGTATCAAAAATATATTCCATTATTCATTATTGAGAAACTTTTTTCATTTTTTTTACTACCAATGATTTATGAAAATTTGCAAATTTGAAAAATATGTTTATTTTACTTGATATAAAATTCAAAATCAATGACAATTGAGTGAGGACATAATACACGATGAATTTTGAACTACCCTATGTATATTGGATTCCGAAAATTCTTACAAAGATACATTACGGGTTCCGGTAAAGGTTCAACCAAGCCTTTTTCGTTACTCCTCACTAAGATATTGAATGTAGTGAAGGAAAAACTTCAAGAGTACTGTTTAAGAATATATTCAAGAAGTGGTGTGAATCAGATGTGGATACTCAAAAATTTCAAAGAATTTTGGACAATTTGAAATCACAAGAATTTACCATAATCAACAGCTTAAAAACTGATGACTTTTCAACTTTATACACAACCATTCCCCACGATAAATTAACGTCCAGGCGTTTTGATATCATTTACAGCTGCTTTTTCAATAAAAATGGAACTCGTAAATTTACTTACCTTTGTTATTGGTCATTTGCAAAATTATTTTGTTAAAGCACGTTCTGATTGCACACACAAGTACTCTGAAGTTGACATCAAAGAGATGCTTGCGTTTTTGATTGACAATATCTATGTGGTTTTTGGAGACCAGGTATTCCAACAATCTTTTTGAATTCCCATGCGTACCAATTGCGCTCCGTTATTAGCAGACCTAAGCAGAATTTGTGCAAAATTTTATGCGTGGAAAGAAGAAAACACTTGCTGTGGCCTTCAACTCGACATTTAGATATATCAACGGCGTATACGTATTGTCAATCAACAATAATTGTCATTTCCATTCCTACGTCGATACGATATATCCTGGTGAGCTTGAGAAAAAAGATACCACAGAGTCTGACACATCTGTTTCATACTTGGATATTTTACTTGAAAAAGACGTTAATGGTAATCTAACAACCAAGCTATATGATAAACGTGATGACTTTTAACTTTTCTATCGTCAACTTCCCTTACTTATGCAGCAATACACCTTCATCACCTGCATACGGAGTGTATATATCTCAGTTGATTCGATACACAAGAGCATGCTCTACGTATGAACAATTTCTAAAACAAAGTAAATTATTGACAATCAAGTCGATAAAACAAGAATATCAGCAGTCTCGTTTAAAGTCATCATTTCGTAACTTCTATGGTCGATACCTTGTTAGCAAATACAATTTATGATTGAATCAAATGCTGACTGATGTTTTTCATACTTATTGTTAGTCCATTATTTATACATTGAATTGACGACGGATTTTTCCGTTATTTCTCGATCATGACAAGATGCACACGGCTGGTGTGACCGGTCAGCAGGGGATGCTAACTCCTCCATGGCACCTGATCCCACCTCTGATGTTTCGGAGGTCCGTGTTTGCTCTGATCCTATTTTGTAAATGTTTTACGGACTTTGATATTGAATACTGTTCGTTATCTCCATATTGTTCCCAATATTTCAATAAATTTTTTTTCTTTGACTCCAATTGACAGATTTGTTGACAAGAATTTAATTTATATTTTGATTTGTTTTGTACGGCGCCGCTGGAGGGCCAGGTAAAAAAAATATTTTTATTTGTTCGGACAAAATAGAAATTCGTTCGGACGAATTAGTTATTTGTTGGGACGAATTAGATATTCGTTTGGACGAATTAGAAATTCGTTCAGACGAATAAGTTATTTGTTCGTACGAATTAGATATTTGTTCGGACAAATTAGAAATTCGTTCGGAGGAATTAGATATTCGTTCGGACGAATTAGTTATTTGTTTGGACGAATTAGATATTTGTTCGGACGAATTAGTTATTTGTTCGGACGAATTAGATATTCGTTCGGACAAATTAGAAATTCGTTCGGACGAAATAGATATTCGAATTAGAAATTTGTTCGGACGGATTAGAATATATAATTCGTTCGAACGAATTTCTAATTTGTCCGAACGAATATCTAATTCGTCCGAACGAATAACTAATTCGTCCGAACGAATTTCTAATTTGTCCGAACAAATATCTGATTCGTCCGAACGAATATCTAATTTGTCCGAACGAATTTCTAATTTGTCCGAACAAATATCAAATTTGTCTGAACAAATATCTAATCCGAACGAATATCTAATTCGTCCGAATGAATTTCTAATTTGTCCGAACGAATATCTAATTCGTCCGAATGAATTTCTAATTTGTCCGAACGAATATCTAATTCATCTGAACAAATAACTAATTCGTCCGAACGAATTTCTAATTTGTCCGAACAAATATCTAATTCGTCCGAACGAATATCTAATTTGTCCGAACGAATTTTTAATTTGTCCGAACAAATAAAAATATTTTTTTTACCTGGCCCTCCAGCGGCGCCGTAGTTTTGCATTCGCATTAATAAATTGAATCTTTTTTTATAAGAAAATCTGAATTTTATATAATTTCGTATTTAAACATTAAGTATAACGAATTAAATTTGTATATATATTTAAGTTTTTTAAATAAAGAATATAATTCGTTTAAATGAATTCAACAGATTGTAAATCGAATTCGTAAATCAGAAATGAGTTCGATGTAAAGAAAGATAACTTTGCGGAAGTTATTTCGACATGTGCTAGATACTTTAATTATTCAATATCAATTTCTAGTATCTTCAAATACCATTACTACTATTATGCCACTTTCAACTGAGACTTTTGGCTTAAAAAATTATCACAAAAGGTAAACTTACTTTTCACGTTGTAATATATATCATAGAATGAAAAATATGGAGATAATGAACTGTATCCAAGCTCAAGCAGGACAAACACAGACCTCTAAAACGAAAGAACTCGGATCGGGTGCCATGATGGAGTGAACATCCCCTGCCGACCGTTCACGTCTCCCATATGTTCCTTATCATGATCAGGAAATAACGGGAAACCTGTCGATAATTCAGTGTAAATGCTGGCCTAACAATAAGTATGAAAACCGTCAGTCGGCATTCTGTTTAATGATAGATTGTATTTGTTGACAAGGTCAGTGTATCGACCTTACAATTTTACGAAATGATGTTTAAATTAGACTGTTAATATTCTTTTTTCATTAACTTGTTTGTCAGTAACTTACCTCGTTTTGTTGTTCATATGTAGGGCATGCTCTTGTGTATCGAGTCGACTGAGAGATGTAAACCAGTGATCTCTTTTGCAAGTGACAAGGGTACATGTATATTGTTGGATAAACATTTATCATTTTTATCATAAAGCCTAGTTGTTTCGTTAGAATTAAGGCCCTTTTCCAGTAAATGAGTATACATCAGCAATTTAGAGATCATTTTTAACACCTGATTATCTTTCGTTAAAACATAACTTCGAGTATTTTTTTTATTTGATTGATATATGTATAGGTATTTTCCTTTTTTGAATTTTCATGTTCAATCTTTCAAATGATTGAATACAAATGCAACTTAGAAAATATAGTTGAAAGGGTTCAGTTTTTCAATGAAGGCAAGCTACTAATAAAAAAGTCGATGCTTCGAGGGAATCAAAATTTCGCTTGATTTCAAACAAATTATCAGCCTATGGTTTCTTCGGATAACTGATTTGACCCATTGAAGACAAAGGACTCGCGGTGAATGTGACCAGTCACTCCTAGCCCCATACCTAACCTTTGTTATCTCCAGGGGGTTGTGTTTGTCCTGTTCCCAATTTTGTATCCCTGTTTTTGATATTGAGCTTGATCACTGTGTTTATCTTCGCGTTTCAGCATATTCCGAATATTTATTGACATTTTACATGTATCAAAATGAATTTAAAGATAATGAACAGTTGCCATTGTAAAAAGTTCATTTCACCATTATATGAAGGGTCAACATCGACCTCTGAAAACAGCGGTGAGTTAAGATACCATGGAAGTTCAAGCATTTCAAGCTTTTCTCCAGTTACACTACCCTAGGATACTCTTGTCATGTTTAGGAAAACGGAAAAAATTATAGACAATTCAATGCCAAAATAATGCTTTAAACAATTTGTATAAAGAACGTAACCCAACATTCACCTCAACAACAAATTTTATGTGCAAACAAGGCCATTTATCAACCATAAAATTAGCTAAATGTTGATTTGAAATTTGATTGTTGATATCCTTGTGACATACACGGCGTTGTCGATATCTGGCCTTGTTTAGAAATTGAACACAAATAGAACAACCGCTTACTTATCGAACAAAAGGGGACATGCGTGTATAAGCTTCATATGCAAGTGATATTTTGCTACAGTAAGGATTATCAATGGCATTTTTTCATATATCAGTAATATTTTTATTGATTTTTATTCAAATAGTTTAATGTACCCAAGAGAAAAAATTTAAACCATGAAATTAGCATGAAAATTGAAATTCAAAATTACACTTTACAAAAGGGTAAAGTAGCCTTTGAGATTTCTTGATGATAGTTTAGTAATACACACATATATTATCTTTTACTTCGTGACGACAGATACACCATTTACCTATTGATTAAACTATTTTGACAGCGAGCTCTACAAAATTTTCACACTTTCCAAGATATAAAAGCCTGGGTTTTAAAAAAATAAAAAGGTGTATAGAATGTCGAATAGAATCCTAAAGCCAAAATGAATTGATTAAATTGATAATGATTAAACTCCAGAAAGTAAGACACGTTCTTCGTGTGAAATATTAGATAGAAACCCGTGCACCTTCCCAACTGTCAAGAATAACACGGGATTACTGACTGCAGTTTGGCGGAATGGTGTAGAAGAGGGCTCTAAATACAACTGCTTTATTATCTTCATAGGAATGGTGACGCGTATTCTTAAAGTCTTCATGAATATCATAAATATATACGGACATGAATCACAAGTTGTGAAGTATTTTATAATTTTAATCTTTTTATGACTATAATTATCCTTTTGTAGGCAAATGCTTGGCCAGACATATTAACTGATGAGCAGGTTACAGGTAGGATTATAATATTTTATGTCTGTCAGTTTACTGTTGTTTGTTTGATTTCAGAAAAGATATAAGCACTGGGTTCAACCTTTTCAACGTATGAAATGTTAATAGAAAAACGGTATTATTTCCCTAAAATAAAACATTTAATTGAACATTTATATAGACACCAAACATTTTCTATCAGCTTGTAACATACAAGAAAAATACATATTTAAACTCTGAATTTTAAAGAGACACATATTAAACATGAGTTTTCTTAAAACCGGTTCATTAAACAGGGTCTGAAGAGACTGCAAAGTCCTTTCCTTTAAATACCTGAAAGCTTGGGAACACCTTTTTAGTCAGTTTGAATGTGGTACTCATTTAACACATTATAGTTTAAGCCTAGTCGCATCTTTAAACTGCATCATATTATTTAATTTTTGTATGTTTAGAATTTCGAGCTGCCTTTGAGATGCTGGACACTAGAGGAATAGGGAAAGTGTCAATATCACAACTTCCTAATATCATTCGGAATATAGATCCAACAGCAAACCGCTCAGATATCAACAATATGACTAAACTTTTAAACAAAGACGGTAACGTTCTCTAAGTTAAATAAAAAAATAAAAGTGTCTATGATAGTGATAATTTTTGACAAATTATTTAAAACATTTTACTTATTCTTAGGTATTCTAGAAATATGATGTTATCCATTAGATAATTGCAAATTTATCGTTTCATTATTAAATGCAATCGTAATACTATATGTGCAGACAACTTTTATTACCCTTGTGACGCCATTTTTATTTGTTTTTTCCCCGCAATACAATAACGTGCTTTTCGTATCAAATGGATTTTTAATTGCAATTTTTTGCATTTGATGAAATATAGGAGAATTTGGATTCCATGAATTTGTCACTGTTTTGACACTCCAAATGCGACAAGCAGATATCGAGGATGAGTTACAAAGAGCCTTTAGAATATTTGATAAGGATGGAGACGGGTATATTACAGTCCGGGAACTCCGGCATCTGATGACCAATTTAGGTGAAAAGTACACGGAAGAAGAGGTCAGTGAAATGATACAAATTGCTGATCTTAACCAGAAAGGAAAGGTCGATTTTCAAGGTAATTTGTTGTGAATTATTTAGTTCACTTTCACACTAACAAAAAGAGAACATATGTTAGTTACACCTGAATTTATTATATGAAATGGTTATTGCCAAAGTTTAAGTATCATTTGCTTTCGTTATAGGCTACAGATAGTCTTCCTGCCAATGAAATAGTTCTTAAATGTTTATTTTAAAGTATTTAAAACTTTATTACTTTCAGATTATATAAAGCTGGTGACACAGTCTTCAAGACATGATAGCTGAGATAGGATGATTGCGATGCGAATTGTATATATATTCAATAAATGAAAACGGATTGAAGAAAAAAATATCTATTGCATTAAATATGATCGATATTTAGTTCTAAAGACCATTTTTCTAGTCATTATGGAATAAACTGGAATTTTCTGTACATGAACATAGGAAAGTAAATACTGTCAAACAACCTCTTTTGCTCTTCTTTGAATCAGTTTTGTGTTCAGCACTGATGGATGCCATTTTTAAATTTCTTCTTAGTAATTAAACTCCCGACTCTGTATTATTCAATTAAATGCAATATTAGTGCTTGTATTACAGATATATATTTATTTGTCCCGTCAGACTGATCGAGTCAAAAATGTCAATCAATTTTGTGTGTGTCCCGTGTGAAAGCGTTCGACAAAATATTGATGATTTCTTTGTATTCAAGGTTGGGTCACGAAATGGTACAATTTCAGAGTAGTGGCAGGAGAGGAAAGATTGATTTTCTTGTATGATATACCTTGTCAATTGCTTATTTGGTTTCCACTCGTATAATCGTGTAGCCATTGATTACAGGTTGGCAAAGACATAAGGAAAACTAAAAGTTGCTTTAATTTTAAAGACAGTGGCTTCGCCATTGATTATGAATATACTGGTCAAATAAATTAGTTTACAGAAGAAAAGCTTCAGTCGGAATTCTAAATGTACCAAATAGAATGGTAAGTAATAATTGGTATTTAACAACAGTTATTAATAACTTTGATAATGTTTAATTTGAGATTATATCTTTTTTTAAATATAAAAAAAAATCTAATAAGATTACGACTACTTGATGCGATGTGCTGTGATAATTTATCGCATACAAAAAGAAAAGATATTTTTCTTTCGAAAAGTGAAAGAAAAAAATAAAGATTTTGATATTTTAACCACGGGGAGTAATTGGTAGAAAATTTCAAAAGTCGTTGAAGTTAATGTAAATATACTTCTAAAGTTTCTTATGGAAAATAAACAAAAGACCTAGGAATTTAAATGTATTTACAGAGTATTTTCTTTAACTTGTAAACATAACTTTAAACAGGTTTTAAACCTTGTAAGTAATGAACTGAAATACGAAATAATTCACGTAAAGTTCTGAAAGCATTGCCATGTGTTTATGTATTTCGTATTACCAAGTTTTCATAGTTTTTGCATTTTTATATTTTCCAGGTTGAAAACCTAACAGAGGAGCAGATAAATGGTACGTCTTAGAAAACATTTATGAATAAATTTTAAAATTTGGACTTGCTGAAGTTACATAACCTTAAAAAGAGAGAAAACTAAGTTCATTTACAAGACTGAACATGGAAAAAATGTGAGATTTCTTGGATTGATTTTTTTTTTTAGCTCTTCCGAGCTGAAAGCTGAAGTGAGCTTTCCTGATCACCAAATGTGCGTCGTTTGTCCGTCTGTAAACTTTTCATGCTTTGAAGTTTCAACATCTTCTCAAGAGCCAATATTAATAGACCAATTTTAACCAATGGAAGTTTAATTATCAAAATAGCTATATTTCAATTTCTAATTGTTTTCTCTGTGACAACTCATTGAAAATTAGTTGACTTGATTTGTTAATCATTCTACCGGAATGTAAATTTCGCTAGGCGATAGGTCAGGGACTAAAAAGGTCTAATATGCATGTATATGTAAATTTTCGTGCGTCTAGTGTACCTTTGTGTTAACGATGAGGAAGCCTAAAACGCATGAAAATCTCGTGAGACTGTCTTTGTTTTTTGACATCAGTGGGCTGGGACTATTGAATTTAACATGGGAGGCCTCATGTAATTCATATCTATTAGTATACATTTTTAAAATCTTAAGTTATAGTTTTCTTTTACAATGAAATGGAAATATAAGGAATCGATGTCTAGTTGTAGAGTATGCCAGGGCATCAAAGATAGTTGGACACGCGGGATAATTTGCATTCATAACGGACTAGACAGTGATTCCTTAAATATCAACGTGCTTACAAGATCCATCTGATTATTTTATATTTTCGTATTTGTTGTTCTCTTTGACTCAGACATTAAAGAGGCTTTCTTGGTGTTTGACAAGGACGGGGATGGGACGGTTAGTACGGAGGAACTGGGGGCAGTGATGAGGTCAATGGGTCAGGACCCCACGGAAAAGGAGCTTATGGACATGATTGCTGAAGTGGATGTTGACGGTAAAATAAAAAAAAATTAAAAATAAAATGCTTGGATCATGAATAGAACCTTTTTTTATTTTAGACCTGTAAAGTACGTTAAAAACATTTTTTTTTGCCCAATAAAAGCCATATTTTGAAAATCTCTAGATAAATTTGTAGTTTGGATTAAGATTCTTACTAATTATTCTTGTGTTTATGACGTGATAAACTATTTGATTATGCTGTTTCTTTTTTTTTTTACAAGAAAGGGGTCAAATTGAAAAGATTTTTACAAGAAAGAATTACTGGTCATATATTGAAAAGATTTCAATGTGTATTAAAATACAATATATATATTTATAAAGAATTAAAACTGTGTTTGTTTTGTATGCAGATTAAGTCCATCGATAAAGGAGATCGATTGGTTGTTTATTTGTTTACATATATTACCAAGGAACAATATTCACAATATTCAATGTGTATTAAAATACACATTATTTCAAAAGACAAGAGTTGTTGCAGTCTTGCACTAGATGACTTTTAATTTTTTTTTTCTCTCAAGTCATTAAACATCTTGAATCCCTATCTCCATGGCCTCATATGTAAAATAAGACGCCATAGTTGATGAAAATATTGAGTCGGCAAATATTCTTCAAGTTTAGAACATATTTATAGATTTCTCAATCAAAAATTTAAGGGGCAATACTGTTCATATTGGAATATAGTCCTTTGTAATTTTTCCTTTGTTTCAACATTTAACCATTTTGTATTAAATTGACCAGTTTTAGATTTGAATTTATTGCTTTATTCACAACCCTTAAAGAATGTAAAGGAAGTATTTAACTATTTTATCTTGAAAGTATGATTATGTTCTACAATATTTTATTGAAACGGTACTTAATTATATCATAGTTACAGACATATTTAAGTATGTTTAAAAAACTATAGCCCATGATTTATTTTAATGAAAGGCATTGTTTGCAAACTGCTACAATTTATACATTTTTTAATTAGGAAACGGTGACGTTGAATTTGACGAATTTCTACAAATGATGGCCAAACAAATGCAGTGTACAGATTCTCCTGACGAATTAATTGAGGCCTTTCAAGTGTTTGACGAAAACAAAACAGGATATATTTCAGTGGCAGAGTTTCGAAGCGTCATGACAACGCTGGGAGAAAGACTTACGGACGAGGACGTGGATGAAATGATCGTGGACACTGGATTGGGTGGCAATGGATACATTCGATATAAAGGTAACATTGTGGCAGGAATTATTTCCTCTTTAACACTGTTCTTTCATCAGTGACATTCTCCTTCTGCAATACCTCAACGTTAAATTAATTGATCACTAAGAAAATGGGAAATCATTTTTGTAAAAGTTAATAAAAGCAGTTATTTATAAAGACTAAAAAATCTATACGCATATCTTCTTTCGCAATGTACATGCATAATGATATGATTTCTCAGGGAAAACGTTATAAACCGTAAAACAAAATATTCAATGTGTGCAGCAAATTCTTATAAGAAAAAAGGTAAAATAAATTCTTTTAAAATGGTTTTAAACATGGGGAAATTTCAAGTTTAACGGTCAAGTTTGCTTTTTTTTGCTTTTAAAACCTGAGGTCCAGTATCAAAGTAGTCTTTGGAATGATAAAGAACTCTAACTGCTCTCTGATCCTGAGTGCAATTCACCGGCATACGGCACGTGACGTCTCTACACGAGTGAAAAGAATTCGAATGAGATGTAAAACATATTATTAATCAATCAGTAAAAACCAGTAAAATCTCACAGAATTAAATCATGAATCATGAATTTTATTGTTATGGTCAGTTCTCTGTACAAGCTTGAAACCCATGCTCGGACAGCAAGACAGTTGCAGCTCCTTGGACAAAATGGTTGACAATAAGATCATGGATTTGAAAATAAACATTATTTGCCCAAGAAACACTTTATAGCTATATGATCAATTTTCGGCCATTTTGTTCCTTTAATAACTCTAAAAGTGCACAAAATAAACAAAAGTGCACAAAATAAACAAACATATTTTTCTTTGAAATATAAAAATGTCTATAAATACAGTAAGAACACAATTTACAAAAATGTCTGGGAAGTGATACTGCGACCGTTATTATTAAAGAGGGAAAAAAGCATATTCCTAATACATGTACTGCTAAAGAGATTACAAAAAAATGGTTTCTTTCAACAACAAAAATTGGTTTGAAACGGGCTTATTATCTATTTTTTTTTTTTTTTTTTTTTTTTTGTTAACGTTTACAAAAAATTGCAAGAAGTGGTATCTTCTTAATGAATAAATATGTCTAATTTTGGTTCAAAGCAATTCTCCTTTTTGTCCCCCGCTTGAAAAGTGGGGGAAAAGCATAACGCTTTGATTTCCACACGATATCTCGATACTTTTGCCATGAAATTTAGCATAGCAACTCTCTATAAGAACCCTATTGATTTTGAGGTCAAAAAAAAAGAATGGTTTTATAACACTTTCAACAACAAAAATTTGCAATGAAATTTTACATAACAACTCCCTGTGGCCTAATGAAGACGATTTTGAGGTCAAAAGGTCAAAGTTCATTAAATTTATACATTTTGTGTGTAACACTATCATTTGTTTTCAAGAAGATTTTGAGCGCAATGTAATTTTATATTACAAAAAATTCAAAGTGCATTAGTATGTATAGTATTACATGTCGCTATTTTTAGCACAGGGGCATGAGGAGAGTTATTGCGTATAAAACAGGTTCTCGGCGGACTTTATGTTCTTATTACATCTATTAGAACTGTTTAATAAAGGCTAAATAAATCAAACACCATGGATATAAAATTTTTGAGAATACCGAACATGAATATATACATGTATGTGACTTCAACATATACTTGTTAAGGCGATTTTGTGGTATGTCTACAACACGGGATCGACCAAAAAAAAAATACTTTTCTTTTTTTTTTACTAAATGAGAAATGAAAAATTTATGAGGTTATAAAATCATCATTACAGTGTGATAAATATTCCATATAAAAAGAATCATACACTAATAAAGAATAAGCAATCAAATCTTTATATGCATATTGACATACATGTATTTTATTTGCTTCAGTATATATGTATACATTTTTTTTTCATCTTTTTTCCCTAAGCGGGGGACACGAATCTTGTATTTTGTGTATTTAAACGACCAAAGAGACGTAACTCAAACTTTCCATAACAAATTTTATCTTGATATTTTTTATCTTTCAGACTTTGTGAAGCATATAACGTCAAAATAATAATTTGGACATTGATTTGAATAAACAATTATAGATGAATGGCTTGTTTTCATTTTTAAAACATTATGCAAGTGAAGGGTGAAATATAGGGAGATAGCGAAATGTATTCAAGTTTAAAAGTCCATTAAACTATACAAAATTGGAGCAGAGCAAATACGGTCATCCAAAGAAATCAGAGGTGGAATCAGGTGCCATGGAGGAGTCAGCAGTTCATGCCGACATGTCACCCACACCGTGTGTTCCTTGTAATGATCGGGAAATAACATAAAAATCCGTCGAAAATTCAGTGTATATATAATACTGCTGAACTATAAATATGAATAACGTCAGTCAGAATTTGACTTAATAATAAATTGTATTTGCTGACAAAGTCATTGTATTAACCATAGAACTTACGTACATAAAAGATGCGAAAATGTTACTTAATGTCATTTGTTTAATAGAAAATTTTTGATATGCTCCTTGACTTAAGATTATGTTATAGCTCTTACCCAAAGAGCTTTCCCTAATTTAAATCAAATTTAAATGCACCTGTGCACATTCACCACTTAAGAGGACGATCTGTTAATTGCAACAATTAAATAAACTGTTTTATTTATGATAGTCCGGGTTTGGAAACCTCTTAGTGTACATTGAAAAAAACTTACAGTAAGACGATATGGTCGGAGCGACAAGTTGTCTATCATATATCGCCAGAGTGCCGTTAGTGAAATAAAAAAAATCTCCATGAGTTATTTAAATCCTGTAAGATAATGCTAAAATAACAACCTCACTTTAGTGAACCTGTTGGACTGTGAAATATTTTAGCGACGTTTGGTTTTTTTTATTGACATTAAATCGATAGAGGAAAACAATTCTTGGCCACTGTCGTGAAATGAGAGAACATAAAAAGATTTGTCCCCGATATTCCTAGCATGGTAAGTAATTTTATGCATATTAAATCTGTATAAATATTTTGATAAGAAATTTTATAACTCTTAATCGCTATTAGATTCTACAACGTTTTCACTTTTTTTTTTACATTTATACGTGTCGCAATTTCAAAAGAATAAAGATGACACCCATAGAAATTTGTGTTTTGACAAAGGATCTTAAACTTTAGGATCGAGAGTTCACGTTCAATGAATGCAATAAACTGATGGGATATAAGCCTATTGTCCACGATTTTTATAAAGGTTTATTTTTACTTGTTGTTCTGAAGTTAAACATGACGTACAGGGCTCAAAGTCGAATGAAAAAGAAAGTTAAGGTATAAAATTCCCCTTCTAATTGCTCAAATTATTGCATTTTCATCGTTTAAAATATTATTCGTTTTTCAGGACTCTCTTACACCTGAACAAATTGCAGGTAAGTGGTAATGCAACAATATTTTGTTAAATAAAAAGTCATGCAGTCTTCTATACTTGCTGTTAATGCAAAAACAATTAAAAAGATTTGGAATTTCTAAAGACGATGATTAAGATTTACAATTCTTTTCGTTTGGAAATTGGAGAAAAGTCTGTTAAAAAGGGTATATTAACATTCTATATTTTTACAGAACTTCGGGAAACCTTTCTCCTTTTCGATAGGGATGGAGATGGCACAGTGAACTGCGAGGAACTTGGGACGGTAATGAGACAATTAGGTCAAGAACCTTCAGAGGAGGAACTGCGACAAATGATAGCGGAAGTTGACGAAGATGGTTAGTAGTTTTATATCCATAGACATTTTAAGCAAGATGATTTTCTATATCATTCCCCCGAATAGAAGATTCTGAGGAATAGCTTTTGACCTGTCCGTCCATCTGTCTGTCTGTATATCTGTTCGTCTATTATTCCACAAAAAACTTAAATCTTGCCTGTCGGCACTTTTGATTGGTTGAAGATATCTTTTATATTAACATTTATATTTCTTTTGACAAGACCTTTCATTGAGTTCCAAATATTTTATCTATTTTCATTTATCTAGTACTTTAACAATACATTAGAATTTTAATGCTAGGATTTTCTTATTCCTTTACCTTTGAGGCTTACCTACTTTTGGGAATTTTTTTTTACCTCGCCTCATCTTATGGCAGGAGGTGCACATACTTTCTTATTTCACATTTGGATTATGTGGGACAATACCCATCTTTAAGTACTTTTTTATCGCTTGACCTTGTAGTTTGATTTGCAATTTAAAAACTTACTTAAATCCTTTATAATTTTAAAAAAGAATATTAATTTACCAAAAGCTAGTATTTTTGACTATTATGAATTAAAAATTTAAAATACAACACTAGTACTAGCTAGAGAAATGATAATCGAAAGAAAGTAGTTTCATTAGAGCAAGATGTGATAATACATAAATTATTATTTTACAAAATCGTGTATGGGTTAGCGCCACAATACTTTCAAGATCTTTTAGGACCTTGTATTCCACCCCAAACCCCATATTCATTAAGAAACAATGATGGTCTTACTTTTCTTATTCCTCAACGAGGACCACATCATATATGAATAGTTATTTCCCATCTACAATCAAATTATGGAATAGTTTACCATACCATATTAGAAGTTTACCAACACTATCTTCTTTCACTAATGCCATTAAAAGACTCATTGTAGAACACCTAATAATCTTTTTAATCATGGAAATCGTAGTCAAAATATTATTCATTGTCAGCTAAGAAATAATGCTAGTAGTTTAAATGATGATTTACTGAAAGATTATATTAGTGATAGTTCAAAATATGAAAACTGTGATTTTCATACAGAAAATTCATATCATTTTTTCTTTGAATGCCCATGTTGAGCAAAGAAATACTCTTTTAAATTGTATATCTAGTATAGACCTGCAACATTCTATATCCCTAAATCTTTTATTTGGTGATAGTAATATTTCTTATGCTAAAAATATGAAATTGTTTGATAGTTGTTCATAAATATATATCACAAACCAAAAGGTTTCATAAATGAAGTAAAACTATGAAATATTTATTCCAGTTCTTGCCTAAATCAAATACACATTCATTGTATGTTTATAAATTGCTGTAATTCTCATTTTTCGATTTTTTCCTCT